TTAAATAAAATACTAACCAAAAGTTTAAACATTTTTAATTATCAGAAAATTGTTTTAAAATTTTTACAACTTTTATTCGTAGGGGTTTAACTGCGACTGTCCAACTAAAGGGCTATCGCCGTGTGCATAAACCATGCGAATTGATAATCAATTTGTCACTTTGGCCCAGTGTTTTGCATACCAAAACTCAATTAAAACGCACACGCATAGATACAGATATAATTAAAGTTTACAGCTGCAGCTGCGACTGCGACTGCGAAATGCTGAAATCGCCCAACGCTCCATATATTGTATGAACAATATTTGCGCATGAATTATGAATTGTGTAAATTGTGGACACTGTGTGCGTGTGTGTGTGCTCGCATCGGGCCAAAAAACTTGTCGCCAGTGCTGCCAAGTGCCCGACCAAAAGGACACGAGGCCTTGCCAGCTGAGTCCTGGAGCTGCAGGATGAAATGCAGGGGGAGTGGCAAGTGGAAAATGGAAAATGGGGGCAGCACTTTTCGGGGTACCCGCAGATACACATAACTTTACAGCCGGAGCCTACAGACGACAAAATTTAAATCACTGCGTGGCCTCGAGTGCTTTTTGTTACAATTTACGCTTTATGGGTGACATTTTACAATTTACTTTGTCGCAGAAGCACTTTGCGACCGTGTGTAAGTGTGAGCTAGTGTGCAAGTGTGCGAGTGTGCGAGTCAAAGCGAAATGGGCAATATAAATTACACAGTTATGTGCAGCCAGCCAGCGTAACTCTCTCCTGCATCGCGCCGAAGTAACGAAATATTACTTAAACACTAAATTGCGCCAGCCCAGACCGATTCCGAGTGAAAGACAGCGACAGAGACAAATCGATGGGACGCGCTTCCGGTTGGGAAAGCGGTCCGCCAAATGGCCAAGGACAGCAGTGATATTCCAGCGACAATTACTGCGAAAGCTGTTGAAACCGAAAACGGTCATAAGAAGTCAATTGAGCTTGCCAAAAGGGACAAGCTTCATAGGTAGCACACAGAAAAACGAACTCTAAATTATTTATTTCTGTACCTAAATGTGCTTATAACAAGAAAGGAAAGATTTCTATCTTCGCTTGATATTTTTTAGAGCAATTTTGTACCTTATTAAATATTTCATCTACTTGTGACATTTTGATAACTTTATTTCTGCAGAACATCATTAAATCCCTTTCGGTAACTTATAGATACCATTTCGCTTTAATGGCTTCACTAACTCAAACGAAATACAATCGAGTGGAGGGTGCGTAACTCTTTTGCCGGCAGAACTGACTGTAAATGTTCGCGCCTTCGCTCTTGATTATTGGCAGTCATAATTTGGTCATGCATAATGGGACAGGCGGAATATATGAACACCAGGATTTGCTACAGTTTCACATTTGAATTATTCGAGTTATTTCGCGCTACATTAAGTCGGGCACACTCGCACAAAGGCACAGAGATACAGCTCGTTCTTGGCCGGAGGCCTCGCAGGCTTTATATTTGAATGCGATAATTCATGCGGGCATTTCCCTGCCCAGATTCAGATTCAGACTCAGACTCAGTCTCAGATTCAAACTCAGCACCAGCCTCGGTTTTTAGTACCAGACCCACTGGAGATTTATCTGGCAGACCGCAGACTGACGAGCTGGCAGTCGCTCCATTTTAAATTCCAAATTTTTTGCGTTGCACCAGAGTTCTGTGTTGATTTAGTGCTTGCTTATTCTTTGTTTCTCTTTATGGCGGCAGTGTGTGAGATTTTATTTGTGTTTGACTCGCTTTTTCCCAACACTTTTTAACACCCGTTCGTGTTTGCCTAACAGGCGTGTTTGTTTTGCCGTGGCTAGTGCACATTTTAATTAAAAAATATTAATAATTAACTTGGCTCGGCCGACCGGAGGGATCAAAGCAAAGGGTGGGGGCCATCAGCCGGGTTCGGCCGCTTTGGCCACATAACTTCATATCTGCGTAAAGTACATTAAAGGGGCGTAAAAATTCATTACGCAGCGACAGCGCCGCCGGTTGCCAAACAAATAATCGTTAGCCAAGTGAAAAGCAAATGGCGACGCCGGCCTACGAGCCGTGTCCACATCAGAAAGCCAGGAAAAGTGAAGACGAAAAACTGTGACACAGCGCAGCAGCATCCCGGAAAATGCTCGTACTTTCTCCGGTCGAAGCTCCCCGGCCGGGTACTTATTTTCATTATCTGACACACCTATTTAAAAATTTAAATCTCCAAGTGTGACCCCCATTAGGAGGCACCTAAGACCGGAGGGGCCCACATAAATAATTTACTTATTTGGGGTCGTGCAGTCTTCTTGAGCATGCGAACATGAATTTATTTAGTGGCAGTTTTCGGGTGCCCGAAATTTGCGAATTCCTTGCTGAGCCATCAATGTGGCAAGACTTACCAAAAAAGGTGCTTAGTTGTTCTGGCCCGAAAGCATCACCAGTGGGTTCTTCATCAACGTCCCCAGCTCACGGCCCCAGTCCCTTTTGTCCTTATAGTCCTTAAAGGGTCCGACGTCGACCTATTTGGCTGATGCCCAGGCAATTGGTTGTGTCAAGAAGTGGCATGTTTGTTCTGGCTTAGTTTTCAAGGGTTTGATTTGGATCGAACCCGATTAATTTGCACTTAAAACTTTCGTTTTAAAGACTTAAAGGGCTTTGTTCTCATTAATAAATGGGAATGCTCTTAAAAATGTAGTTAGAAATAATATAAGCTGGGTTCAGGACTTCAAGCATTGAATGGAATTTCTTTTGATTTAAGTAATGTTTTGTCCAACAATGAATTGGATTAATATTAATCTGCAAGTCGAAATATGCCCTTTTCATAGTTTTCACGAAAATGCCTCTGAAGTTTACCCCGCGCTTTCGCGCTCTTATCCTTGGCAGCTGTCATCCGCCATGAAATATCACGCATACGCCGAGTTGCTGTCCACACAGCGTTCGCGAGGAGGCTCTCGACTAAATACCCTAATTGGCTTTAACAATGCCTTAATTTTCTGCTCCTGCGAGGGGCGTGGAGGCTCGTCCTTAAGTACAACAACAATAGTACCCAATGCGCTATTGTTATGTCGCCACACACAAGCACGCAGACACACGGACACAGACAAACAAACAATTGTATGTGTGTACTTGTGCATGGTCACAGGTCATACTCACACAGTCGTGCACTTCATTATAAGCAAATATTTTTAGCCTCATTTCAGCTAAAGACGCTTAAGCACGTTATAACTTTCCGCACGATGATATTGTTGTTGTTCTCTGGACGTTTTTGTTGCAAAGCACTCACACAATCGTACACACACACACAGACACAGCAGCACATACAAACTGGCGCTGATTTACCTAACAAGCGAAACTCGAAGAACAAAAGGCCAAAGGCAGGGGGAATCCTGTTGTTGTTTTCATTTAAAGGGATTTAAAAAATTCAAAGGGCAATTGTCATCACACAAACATGTACACATACACATACTAGTGCACATAATCGGAGAAAGGGCGCAGGACATGGAAAAAGAGAAAAAACTCGTCTTTTGCATCGCTCTGAGGGCCGCTTCTTATTGTTTACTTCACTTTTGTTGTTACGTGAAGTTGTTGCTGTTTTTGTTGCATTTAAGCACATGCAATTCTTCACAGTGGAAAAACACATAAGGCTTTCAGTTTCATTTATTTCTTCAAGCTTATAATGCGAAAATCAAATTCCACTCATCAATTTGAAAACACACCAAGAAGTACTTATTTCCAATATTTTTCTACAACTTACTTCGGTTTGAAATGATTATACCCTCATAGTATATATTGATTGTTCAATCAATAATATTATAACTCAAATAATAAAGCTTATGAAGCCGTGAACAAATAATTTGGTATACTTTAGCAAGTACAAAAGTTAATTTAAAAATGTTTTGTATTTTGTTTTGTGTAATTTTTTTCGCAATGTACATGTGAGGAACAGGGACAAAGGACACTCAGGACCGTTGTCCGCCACACGAGATATTCCATGGACACTCAACGTCTGTGCCGTGCAACGTTGATTCTATGCTAAATACGAGCAGAACAATGATAATGTCGCATGGTAAATTACATGCAATTATGTATTTTTCTCTTCTCCTATTTGGCTGTTGGCTCCTGCTCACTCCTTCCTTACTTTCGAGACGTTCTCTGGGTAACATTACCTCAAAACAGCGTCAACGTCTCGGCAGCAGTCGCTGTCGCCGCTGTCGACACGAGAAAGTATGTTAATAACGAGAAATAAAAATGAGACGACATGGAAGGAGTGCAGTAACAGGCAGCTACACCTATAATTGCATCCTTTTCGTCGTCCTGTTTGGATTACCATCGTGGGCTTAAATGAAGGTAAGAAAATGAGAAACAGAACACCTCATATTCCCATATTCATTGTCTGCTCAACTTCTGACAGCTCAAAACAAAATTGAGTATGCCCTGGGCAAAATAAATGTAGCGTATAGTTTTCTTTATTCTTACCCTTTTCACTAAGACTGGCATTTAAGCATTCTCTGTTTGTCAGTCGCCGTCATTGTACCGTTCTTAAATGGATCAAAAAGGACTAAAAATTAAGTAACAAAGTTTAACCTTTAAATTATTGTTCTAGTTTATTAAAACGACTTAATAAATTAAATATATGAATCTACTGATGTTGTTAACATTTGGCTTATCAAACATGAGTATAACAGTTTTCCAAGCAACGCCATAAAAATACTGGGATTTTCGATAAGCAGGCAGCAATAGGAAATTTTTCGAAGTTTACCTAAAGACAACGAGCGGTAAGAAATATTATATAAATTCAAACAAAAAAAAAAGTAAACATTTTAAAAGAAAATATTTTAAATAGAGTTAGTTACTTTTTAATAAATATTCTCTTTATTTTAGTTAATTAAGAAGTTGAAACCCAAAATCAAGTCGAAGCCTTACAAACCAAATTCAAATGTGGCTGGCGCTTTCGAAAATGCCTGTCCTCTTGGCAGCGGGGATTCTGCGCTCTGCGGCGAAGCGAGCCGAAAGGACCAGAAAGGACGAGCCCCACGAACTTGTGAATGGCGCCCGGAGCGAGGAAACGAGCCAGTCGGGACGGCGAGAGGGACGGAGAGAGGCCCGGGAAGCGGGGACACGCTACGGAGATGGCGGCGCGAGTGAGAGCGAGCCATTCGTGAATATTTCATGAACGACGGCAGCGATGGCAGCCAGCTTCGTGCCGCCGAGGACCGAGCTCCTGGCCGCCGAAGAGAAATGTAGGGAAACGCATCCTCGGCAGCGGCGGCGGCGGCAGAGGCAGCGATTCTGGCGGCAGCAGCGGGAAAATCGGCAGCAGGAAAATCGGCAGCCTTTCTGCCGTCGTTGCAGTGGCAGCAGCGCCTCCGAATTTTGGCCAATGCGTGTGCTCCTGGCGTTCAGTAAGAAAAGCGTCGCCCAGCGGTCTAGTACGAACGTATACCGAACGCTTTGTATATCCTGTAATTATATCCTGTGTGTGCGATTGATCTCGTCTGCCTGGTTCGTGCGAAGTTCGAAACAAAGACTTTTGCTTGCCGTAATGGCAAATTATTCTGGGCCTGGGCTTACACTATTTTTTTAACGATTATGATCACTCACAGCAGCCAGCCCTGGTTTGCTTATACTCACACGACTCTAATTAAGTTGGTCTTATCCCACGCATTTGCAGTCACTGACTTCCAAAGTCGCAAGGCAAATTCGCGCGCGACAAAATCCCCAGAAGCTGCCGGCAAAATAATTGCCATTGCAGCAGCTGCTTGAAACTTTACCAGCGACTCTGAGCCGGCTGAGCGGAGCTCCACTTTTTGTTTGGTCCCTTTTCCCCGTTGTGTACTCTCACATATTTTCATTATTTTCCCTTTTTTCCGCCTGACATTTTACATACCAGACATTGATATTAAAACACAAGACGTCTGGGGGCACAAAACTCGTAGTGCTCGCATGACAGGAATATTTATAATTTCCGCTGCCAGCAGACACAACAGAAAAGAAAGAATAATTTGCGATTACTGGCAGGCAGAAGGCGAAGGAAATCCCTGAAACGATATTACAAGCCAAGTGCGCTTGAGTTCGTGTATTTCCGGTTGAACAAACACATAAGCGAAACATAAAAGAAAGGCGAAAAAAAAAATCAAAAAACAAAAAAAAATACACATGCCCATACTTATGCCAATATATATGTAGTATATACACGAAAAAAAGTACCCAGCCAGCACGAAAAGTGAAAATACATAGAGGCGAGGCGAGGCGGTCGAGGCGAGCGAGCATATTTCATAAGTTTGCACTCCGAACACACAGAAAACACACAGAGACGAGTGCCAGAGAAAGCTGGCGACAAAGGCTAACGCACGACCTTTGGCACCGAGTTCAGCTCCTGCGGAGGGGTCAGCGAATCAATAGAGACAAAGCAGCTGCATCCCAGACCAGACCAGAGCAGACCAGACCAGTCCAGTTGCGGGTCCTGTCCTGTCCAGTTTCCAGTCCAGTCCAGCGACCAAAATTCACTCGCAAATAATGCTGACCATGTCGACCCTGATGATGCCCGCCCCGACCATAGCCATGGGTGCCCCGCAGATCACAATGGGTCCGCACAAGCCGCCGGAAACGAAGCTGCTGGCCATCCATCCCGCGGCGGCGGCCGCAGCAGCCGCCCAGCAGCAGCAACAGCAGCAGTCGGTGACAGCCGCCCATTTGCAGCACAATGGCCAGCAGCAGCACTCGCAGCAGCAGCAGCAACAGCAGCAGCAGCAGATGTCGCAGCAGCAGCAGCTCGTGGGCAGCAATTCGAAGCCAGGTGAGTGGAAAAGCGGGTTTTGCGGGTGAACGTCCTCTCGATTTGGCGGAATTTCCACCGGCAAAGGTGTTGCATAAATTGAGAAATGTCGCTGCCATTTTGCCCCTGAGACGTGTCTCGAATGCAGCTGGCAAATGGCTATACTTTATTGTCGGGTAATTTATTCTCAATGGAAGGCGATTTCTCGAAAAACCAACTAGCAGATAGAATGTCTTAGTTTTCTTCGAAACGTAAATATTTCATTCAGACTAAACCATCGAATATTTATTCGATCGCTTGAACTTAATCAATAAGCGACAGACGAAACTTACTATTCAGCATTGTTTTTTAAACTTTAAAATAACAATAAAAGGTTAAAAATTGAAACAAAGAAATTTATTTAAATTGGCAAAAGTTTTTAGCTGATGCCTGAAAAAAGAAACTAAGTGTGGTGCAATGTAAAAAACAAATAAATAAAGTATTAGATTAACTAAAAAAATTGTCAGCACAGTCATTTGCAATTCTAAAAGTATTTAGATTGGCTTTCAACTAGGATTTAATTGAATGAATTTTATTTTACGATATAATTGCATTTTATTTGCAGACAAGGATTTGTGAGAGCTTAAAAAGTTAGCAAATCATTCAAACATGTCCGTGGCAGAACATAATTTACCGAATTAGTTGTATCTAAATGAAATGCTGTTTGTGCCAAACAATTGCTTTTTACCCAAAACTTTAATAGTTTTGTTTTATGTGAAAAATAAATTTGGTTTTGCATTAGACAAGTACGTATTTCCGTTTTTTAAATCAACATAAAAGCGAAAGAATGTTAAAGTTACTCATTTAAAGTAAATTTCGAAACCAGTTGCTGAGAGAATCTCCTTAGGTAACTAAGCAAAAACACAAATAAAACAGCGCTCTTTAGAAAAGACATCAGCTTACTTCTTCAAACCGTTTTTCCAACAATTACAATTCAAACGAAAAACACCCTCCAGGCAATCGATACCAAGCCACGATTAAGTACTTCATATTCATAGAAATTTGTATGCGTCACAAGGCCAAAATCATCTTGGCAAGACATTCAATTAAACGTATCTCAGGCTGTCGGAAGTCAAGAAGGTAGATTTCGAAAATTCCAATAAAGCACAAGTATCACTTTCGGCCAGTTTTGAATGAGTAAAATTCCAGGGGGCCAAATTCGCACACGTAATCCAAAAATAACAAAACTCGAACACGCATTTCGGAGATGAATTATTGTGGACACCACCTCGCCGGGCTGAACTGTCAAGCTTAGGCATTACAAGCATAAATATCAGTTACAATTTTCATATTTTTAACCACAAATGAAAAATTTGATACAGCTCGGGCTGGGCAGGGAAATTGCATGCCCGTAGAGATTTACAACTTAAAAACAACTTAAGCCGAAACTTGGAAACAAAGGCGGGGATAGAGACGAAACTGGGACTATTCTCCAATTTGTTGGCCCCTTCCACTCAGTCCAACAGGCCGACGGTTGCTAATGGCAAAAACTATACACAAATAGACACTGGCAGGCATAAAACCGGAAACAACGGCACAGGAAGCTGCATGAAAATGAAACGAGAAAAGGCGGCCGGGCGGGCTGACTTTGGACTGTAATGAAAAATGGAAAATGTCTACTACCACTAAAAATAGTGAAAAGTTGAGTGTGCGTCGGTGTGGCATCTCTCGTCGAGTCGAAAGCCAGGCGGCAAGAGCAACTTCAAAATGAATTTAATTATGGCAAAAAAGTGAAAATTTCCACACTTGAGTCTGCGAAGTTTGCCTTTCCCTTTGGCCGCCGGAGCGTTGATGAGCGGCTGCAAAGTGTGAGAAAATTACTAGACAAGACAACACCAACTGGCAGCAGGGCACATAAATAGGAGCCGGGCGAAAGTGAAGAGTCTGCCGGTTCCGGGCATTGTGTAAGTTGGCTTAATGCGGAGCGGCTTACAAGAAATCCGGGAAATCGTTGGTGGCAAACCCTGGGAAATGAGTGCGAAAGTGGAGCAAATTCGCTGGTGCTTAACTGGACCAAAAAAAATACGTGGAGAGTCATTTCCAGGATAGTTGACTTTGCGATGAGCCACTCTTAGTTACTAATTAGCAGGAACATTGGAAAAGTGGATAGCCACAGAAATCGACAAGGGCAATGATGGCTAAATAATTGAATTTAGCATACCAATGAATTCGGTATCGAAATACATTTTGACTTTGAAGCTAAAAATAGTTCCCTGTAGGTTCAGATTTTTTTTTGGATTTGTATTTGAAAGTGTAGATTGAGATCGGAAAATGTTTCAAGTGAATAACCATTTTATCCTAAATTGCTACGAGCTCTCATGTGGTTTTCCAGGGAAAAAACGAAAAAGGAAAAAGAGAAGAAGGACAATTGACTTTGCGATGAGCCACACTTAGTTACTAATTAGCAGAGGACTAGAAAAAGTCGACAACCGCACACCGACAAAGCAAACATTGATTACCAGGCCAAATGATTGCAAATTGAAAATTAAGCACGCCGCTGAATTTCCAATTCAAATTGCGAGGGATCCGGCCAAACTGCCGGCAAACCGAAAGGAGCAGAGCGTAACAGGCACATGCATATAAATTTATATATGCAGTGGCACACACACACTTAAACACTCACACAGCTGCAGTGGCACACGGTGCATGAACTTTCGAGCAGCACTTACACCCACCCACACACAGACACACACACACACGAACAACATTCAGGACGAAAAGTGGAGGCGGGTTACACCTACATGCCGCTGTTGCAAAAACAAACAGCGACTGCGAGTTTCTCAAGTGTCGCAACTGCAACAGCAGCAGCCAAGCCAACAAGTGCCACAGTAGTTGGCTGTGGAGGAGACCCATCCGCAGCGTCACAACAGCATCAACCTCCGTAATGGCCAACTACAGTGGCAGTTACCCCTAAAACACGGTCCGTATGATGTGAAGCCAGTCTTGAGTTTCATTCACTTTAGGCCTTCTTTTCCTACTTTTGGCTATCAATTGATAGAAAACATATAGTTTATACAGCATGGAATTTTTTAAGGCTTTAAATATTTTGTTAGTCGGCAGATACCAATATTCTTTGGAATCATTCTTTGGAAGAATTTCCCCAAACTAATTTCCACTGTATTTGGCTGTATTATCTCCATCTGCCTGTGATCCGCCTGCACTTGGCTGTTTTTTCTTGCCCCCAAATGATGCAACAACAACGGCGAGCGCGCTTTACTTTCGTTCAGGCGACAGCAAAACTTTTAAATTGGTTGGCAACACTTGCAGCTAACATACACACACAAACACAAACAGCCGCCCGCATACGGACAAACACACATACCAAATGTTTGTTTTGGAAATGAATTTGGCAATTTTTGTACAGCTGGAAAAGCGAGGAAAAGTGGCAAAGTGAGGCGAGAGACAGCAGGCAACACCTCAAAGTAATTTGCCAGCAAATCATTGGAAAGAGCCGGCTGCGAAGGCGGAATAACCGAAAAGGATAGCATCAGCCGAAAAGTATGCAATGCCAAATGAAACACACTCACACACGCAGGCCAGAGCGTGTGTGTGTGGGTGTTTTTGTGTGGGTAAAAACCACCAAAGTGAAATGCATTTATCGACCGCAAAGCGTTCGAAATGAAATCTGTTTAAAGGATTTTAATACCCCAGCAGAAACGTGGAGTCTGCATCAGTATCTTTGTGTATGTGTGTGCAAGGAGCTGGTTGTGCGGGTGTATGGGATGGATGTGGATGTGGGTGTGGAAGTGGTAGGGGTGAACACAAAAAGTCAATGAATTCGTTTGGCGAATTGAAAAATTAATTCAGTTGCCGTCGCTGGCATTGATAAGGAAAAGCACGGAGCAGGAAAAACTTTTACACGCCGCTTTCCTTTTATGTGTGTCTTTATCTTCACTTCGTCTGTGTTTGTACTCACACACACACACACACTTACACATTGACAAGGTTTTTACTTACTAATGATTTCTCATTTCGCTTACGGTATTTCTCTGATACTTGTTCTTTTTGTCTTACTTTGCGTTTTACAACTCGCACACAACGATACCAAGTAACTCACTGACGTTGTTATTGTGGATTTTCCCCATTTTCCCTCTCGAAAAGCGGAGGAAATTAAGCAAAAAGCGCAAAGATTTATTTCGCTTTGATCAAAATTAAATGAATTGATTTTAATACGCCCCGTGGGCAAGATATTTCCTACGCTTTCGCAAATGAAAACGCATAAAAAGGTGTTGGTTGGCCTTGTGGGCGTGGTTGTTCTGGTGGGCGCTCGTTGCGAGCTTTATTTTATGCCAGCGGCCATTACAATTGAGTAGCTTTGGCCATTGCTGTGTGTCTGTGTGGGCCATTTGAATACCCATCCGCACTGGTATTGGTGTGGAGTGCTCGTGCTTAAAGACTCTCAATAAATTCTCCTTGAATTGGGTACAAAGTGGAGGATGCGATAAAATGTTTAAGGAAAGCGTGTCAAGGAATTAATGTTGTGTTGCCCCAAATGAACGACGTTTGGGGTAAATAGAAAAGTGTGGATTTGTATTCAAGAAAATTAATATCAATGGCATTTGAAACGCTTTAGAATACCATTTTTAGATTTTCCACTGTAGGAAACCCAAAAACTAGAAATCTTTTATACTTTTTATTTATAAATTATTACATCATTATTTAGGAACTAGGAAATGTCACCGAGTGAAAAACAGAAATCGGTGCTCGGTTTAACGTCTATTCGCTGTCCAGTTCATTCCGTTTGATTACATTTCATTTGATTGGTAACATTTTTGGCTGTCGATTTTTTTACACTGCAATTGCTTCTGTGCTTCTTTTTGTTTCCCGCTGGCGGCAGCAAATGAAAAGTTTACATTTCATTGCTCAATTCGACATTTGACATTTGGCAGCGGCACTGGCATAGAAAATGAGGTTCAGTTTTTGCACTCTCCGAATTTCCGAGGTTTTTTTTTGGTTTCAAAATTCAGACAATTGACAGCAGC